CCCAGGTTGTTAGGCCCGAAATACCGGCCCACAATGACACGGCAGATAACCAATCTGCCTTGCAAAAAGCCCTTATAGCGGTTCCACCGACGAGACATTTTTTTTTCGCGGCTCTCACCTGATCAAACATCAGAAGGTGTTGTCTCCTTTAAATAAGGCAAAACCAGAACTGATAAAGTACAGTAAAGTAAAAAGTAAAGATTATGGTGGAAAAGTTTAAATTTTCTTACGCTAGGGATTATTTCATTTTTCAAAACCTTCTCAGGTTAATGTGTTCACAAAAACCTGGTTAAAGCTGGAGATTCTGAGCTCCGAAGTTTTTCCAGCTGTGTTACAACGATATTGAATTCCTTTGTGTGAAGCTATCTATCAATGGTAGCATTTTTATTACATGTTCCTACATACCTCCATTGTAGGAAATTCTTATATATTGGAAGTCCTAGGTAATTTAAATATTCCTGGTGCTGTTTGGTACTCCAAAAATTCCACCAATACTCTTCTAACTTCTACACAATATGACTTTATCGCTATCTTGTTCGACATTTCGCTGTATGAAGTAAACCATCTGCGAAATTCCTTACAGCGCTTGCTCGATCTTTTTTTAGTCTCTGATCCTGCGAGAGTCAGCCATTGTGGCGCCTCTGACGCAGCCCGAAGATCCGTATTTATTTATTTATTTATTTATGTATTTATTTATAAAGTAAATAGCAATGACTGCCATTCTTAAATTATATTGTACCCTTACCTCTGCACAACAAAAGGAAGTGTTTTTTATCGATGTGCTCCGACTCACATCAGGTGGGCAGAGATAAGGATAGGTAATTTAACAAATTATGAACATTAAACTTTTTACTGATTGTGTTCCGTTATACTATCCGCCAATCTCGAATAAGCCTTCGTGGTATACAAAAGAGTTGAGCCGACTTAAAAATAAAAAGTCTAAGCTGTATGCTAAATTTAAATTCACCGGTTCTCAATCTGCCCTTTCATCTTATTTATCAGCTGGGTCAAACTTTACCGCGCTGAACGCGCAGTGTTATAAAAACTATTTAACTCGTTGTAGGGCCCAGTTCTCACAGGACCCAAAACAGTTTTATAATTTCGTTAACACCAAACGTATGCCTAAAAAAAACCTTTCTCATTTTCATTTAAATAATAATACCGCTAATAATGATCAGGCAATAGCCGATCTATTTTCGCAGTTTTTTCAAACAACCTATTTAAGCTCTTCGTATTTACTCCAGACTTATTCCTACGACATACCCAAATCGAACTTAATTTTCTGTCCTAGCTTTAACGAAAGCTCTCTTCTTCTAGATCTTCATCGTATCAAGCCAGTTTATTCGCCAGGTCCCGACGGAATTCTTGGCTGTGTGCCTAGGTATTGTGCCGACGCCCTGTGCTATCGCCTTCTGAAATTGTTTACCTTGTCCTTAGAAACCTCCCACTTTCCAATTATTTGGAAGGAATCTTTTATTATTCTTCTCCACAAAAAAGATAGCAAATTGGATGCCAGCTATTATACTATTTATACTATACTATATACTATACTATTATTACCCCTCACTTACAGCACCTTTGTAGATCAGTTATTTCTCCATGTCAACATGGTTTTATGAAGCGAAAATCAAAAACAACAAATCTTTTGGAGCTCTCTTCCTATGTTATAAACGGCTTCCATAATAATTTCAGACAGATGTAATCTATACTGATTTCAGTAAAGCATTTGACTCTGTTAACCATTCTCTCCTCGAAAGAAAACTCGATTTAATGGGTTTTCCAAGTGATCTTTTTAATTGGATCTCAAGTTATCTGTAGCAGGACGCAAAAGGTCTAATTATCTAATGTTCTAAGGGTTATATCTGGCTTCCCGCAAGGAAGCCATTTGGGACCCTTTTTGTTTACATTATTTTTTAATGTCCTGCCCAAACTCTTGACTAACTCCAGAGTGCTTTTATGTACGCGGATGACGTCAAGTTTTACGTGCAATTTAATGACGTCGCCTGCCAGTCGAATTTACAAACAGATGTCAATAATTTTAAAACTTGGTGCCGTGTAAACTTCCTTAAGTTAGACGGCTCGAAATGCAAGCTAATGACATTCTCTCGTGTCGTTCCTAAGCTTGCTACTTACACGCTGAACTGCTATTTGGAAAAAATTAATACTGTTGACGATTTGGGCGTCCGCTTGGACCCAAAACTTGACTTTATTGATCATATTTCGTCTATGGTGAATAGAGCCAGGGGTGTGCTTGGATTTATTAAACGGTGGTCGAAGGAATTCAATGACCCCTGTGTTACTAAATCCTTATATACTTCCTTAGTTCGTCCTATCCTAGAATATGGATGCTGCGTTTGGAGTCCTTAGTACGGCGTCCATAGTAAACGCATTAAGTCGGTTCAAAAGAACTTTTTACTTTTTGCTCTACGCGGTTTAAATTGGGATGCAAACCAAAGATTACCTTCCTACTCTAGTACACTCCTATTAATAAACTTGCCGTCCTTAGCCAATCGTAGAACGATGCTAGGGATAACCTTTATTTTTAACCTTATACATGGTGATGTGGAAAGTGCTGACTTGTTGAGTCAGCTTAATTTCCATGTACCATGTAGAACTACTAGATCCTATATCCCATTAGTGTTGCGCCACTGTAGAAACTCCTTTGAACTGCATGAACCTTTTAGAGTGCTATGTGCAAATTATAATAATTTGTACAGACTAATATCTAACGTAGATAGTCTTCCCACATTAAAATCTTTAATACTAACACACTTAGTAAACATGCAAGCTAACAACCTGGCAGCACGCCAGTAGTCAATTGCCTCGTATTCTGCCCTATATTTTCCATCGCGCCTACTAACACCTAACCCAAACAGGCACGTGCCTGTTGTCATACGGGCCACTTGAATGTACTGACCTTAGTGCATCAACGTCCTATATCATATAGCTGCCATAGGAATGATCGGAAAATTTTTACAAGAAAAATTATAACTTTTTTTTAGTTTTCAACATAATTTGATCAAATTTGAGATATAGCCATTTCATATTATTCTACAATTTTCTGTAAAATTTAATGAAAATTGGACGACTATATCTTATAGCTCCCATAGGAACGATCGAGAAATTAATTCAATTAAAAAGTATAACATTTTCAGTTTTCAACAGATTTTCATCAAATTTGATACATACCCATTTTATAAGAAATAAAAGAAATTAATAAAATTAAAGATTATAACTTCTTTAGTTTTCACCAGATTTTCATAAAATTTGAGATATAGCCATTTTATTTTAATCTACAATTTTCTGTAAAGTTATAAAAAACCGGACTACTATATCACGTAGCGGCCATAGGAACGATCAAAAAATGAATACAATTAAAAATTATAACGTTTTCAGTTTTCAGCAGATTTTCATTAAATTGGAGATATAGCCTTTTTATATCAGTCTTAAATTTTGTGTCAAATTTTATTTTATTTTAAGAAAATCGGACGACTATATCACATAGGTGCCATACAAACGATCGTTAGATGTGGATCAAAAATGCAAATCTGTAATGTAAAACTGAAAATATAATATGTATAGGTGAATGAAATGAAAGCAGGTTTGCCTTTTGGAAAATATATTGTCAGAAAAAAAACTTAAATAAAATAAGTAGTAATTATAGTTGGATAACTTAAATAATTTGTCCCCCCCCCAATGCAAGCACTAGTCGCTAAGTATTGCTGTGACGTCATAAGTAAGTAAGCCGCCGCTTCTGCGCACTGGCTGTGGCCGTCCGAAATCTATAAAAAAGACTCTGCATGCTGAAATTTGCACACGCATACAAACGTGCGAGCGCTTGTACACATATCCACAGAAACGACAGCACAGCGCAAAGAAACGCACCCCTGCTCATCGTTCCACGGTCGATCTGCCACTGAAAAGTAAAATCTTGTTGGCTCGGTTTCGAACGAATGCTTCGAACTCGAAAAAGCCGAAGGCACTCTGGGGTTCTAGACATTTCGTTCGGGTGCTCTGGGGTTCCAGGCTCAGCCGTTTTTGTGATAGTACTTTTTTAAACGGTTTTATTTAGCTCACCCCGTTTGTTTTCTTTATTCTTGGGTCAAATTTAGTAATTCAAATTTCACCCTCTTCCTGTCAGCCGATTAATCTGAAATTTTGTATACACTTTGGATTTTGGTGACAATACAATTATGTTTATTCATTAGCATTATAAATTCAAGATGGCCGCCGCTACAAAATGACGGATAACTTAGGTTTTATCAATCCCATCAACATGGGTATCAAATGAAAGGTCTCAACAAGTAGAATACCATTCCAACAGAATACGAAATAAAAACTAAAAACTAGAAATAAAAATAGGTAAAAAAACTTTTTAAGTTAAACGGTTTTTTATTAAACATACATTGCAATGTTTAAGATAAATGTACTAAAAGCCAAAAAATAATAAAATAGATACAGTCGTGGGAATTATAAACATATGCATATACTAGACTAAAATAAAACCGTGGAACACATCAATTGTCTAATACAAGTATAAGTAAGTACTTATTATTTGGCCCATGTGTGCATATAGTCGTCTGATTCGGCCCGTTCTGTCATATATACGAGTAAGAGTATATAAAAAACTAACTGCAAAGTTTCATTCCGATAGCTTCAAAACAGAGAGACTAATTTGCGTAGAAACGTACAGACGGAGTGAAAAATGGACATGGCTAGATTGACTCGGCTGTTGATGGTGATCAAGAAAATATATACTTTATAGGGTCGGTGACTCCTTCACTGCGTTCTGACTGAAATTATAATACCCTGTTATGGTTTAACAAAAAATTAACTTGATTTAAAAAAATTCATGGTGGCTACAGTTTTAAGGTATTTTTTAAAATACATACATTTTAAGTCTTCAAGTACGTTGACGTTTAAACTGGTCATAAAACTGACTAGATTTTGGATTCCTGATAATTAATCAAATAAATTTTACTTCATCTACGTATTTCTAGGATCTACAATCAGATTATCTTGCAATTACTTAGAGATAACTACGGATAAAACTAAAGGAGTTTTCCAATATGAAGTGCGATTTTTTCCCAACGTAGATTCTCTTCACTTAAGAATGAAATATTTAAACGAACATAAAGAGAAACTTGGAGGATGCAAAACATTCGATGGCACGACGTTGTATTTGCCAATTTTGTTGGAAAATCAAATGACAGTTTTTGTTTCAAAAACTGAATGTGAGGATGTTGAGATACGAATTTTATTTAAGAAAAAAGAAGACCTCAAGAATTGCGTTCATTTATATAATATACTATTTGACCGCGTCATGAAGACATTAAGCTATGTAAGGTTTAATCGGAAACAGTTTGACCCTTCACGCCCAAAAGTTATTCCTCTAGCTAAATTGGAGGTTTGGCCAGGTTACGTTACAGCAGTTGATGAATACGAAGGCGGTCTAATGCTGTGCTGTGATGTGTCTCATCGAATCCTTTGCCAAAAAACTGTATTGGATATGCTTGTAGATATTTACCAGCAAAACGTAGAAAACTTCCAAGAATGTGCTAGAAAGACCATAATTGGCAATATAGTTTTAACAAGGTATAACAATCGTACTTATAAAATAAATGAGATTTGTTTTGACCAAACTCCGAACGCCATGTTTCAAACTAAATCTGGGGCCACAAGTTATGTAGATTATTATAAAAAATATCACAATATTAACATTAAAGACATTAACCAACCTCTGCTTCTTAGCATCAAAAAGTCAAGAGTAAACACTGACGAAAATGAAAATATACAGTTCGGCTTAATACCTGAACTTTGTTACCTTACTGGACTGCGTGATGATATTCGGTCAGACAATAAACTTATGCGTGAAATTGCTACATTTACAAGAGTTTCTCCAAATCAACGCCAAATGGCCTTAGATAAGTTTTTCGACAATGTTTCTAAGACCCCTGCAGCAAGAGAAATTCTGGAAAGTTGGGGGCTTTCGCTTACAAAAAACTGCAACATACTAAAAGGACGACAATTGGACATAGAACAAATCTATTTTTCCAAACAGACGGTGTCTGCCGGAAAAAACGCAGAGTTTTCAAAATATGCTGCAAATACTGAAATGTTCCATGTTGTGCACATTCAAAAATGGATATTAATCCATTTGAGAAATGATCTAAAAGCCGCAAATAACCTACTTGATAATATAAAGCAATGCTGTAAGTCACTCGGGATAAATGTTTCTAAGCCAACAATGATTTCATTAGATCATGATCGAATCGATGCTTATATTCAAGCTCTACGCCGAAATATAGATTTAAATTCACAAATCGTCGTCTGTATATGTCATAATAGTAGAGAAGATCGATACTCTGCAATAAAAAAAATATGTTGTTCAGAATTGCCCATACCATCACAGGTAAGTTCATTTGTAATTAAAATTTGTTAACCAAACTTATGCATGACTTCTTAGATCATCGTTATTGGTTTTATAAACTATATATTTAGAGTCAACTGTGATCATTGCTATTTAACTAATCTAAGCATATAATCTGCCAAATTAATAAAAATTTCGGGCAAGCCAATAATGTACATACACATACTAGAACAAGTGTGCGTACAAACTCGCCGCCTAGCTTTGATGGCTAAAAAACATATTTATATAATTGATAGCAACTTAATTTTTTTTATTGTTAACACATTTGTGTATAATATTTTTGTCCGGTTTTATTTACCATATTAATAAGCTTAATTTATTAAATTTTAAAACCAAAATTCAACAAATTTTTACCATAAAAAGTATGCGTGCAAATTTCAAAAATGTGAAAAATTATACTAAATTCTACTAATTTGTATGAAATCTTATTATCGTTTTGGCATTGATTGCGCCAATTTTTGGATCCCCGATGAAGAAATTTTAAGTTCTTCCTCCATTATTACTGCCTTTGCCATTGCTTTCGATGTGATGTTTTGAAGACAACGAGTGCCGAAACAAACACGAGTGCCGAAAAGTTCGTAGAGCTTAAATCATTGTTACTAGTGATCTTACGGTGTTTTAAATTGCATACAGAGCAAAAACGCAGTGTGTATACAATTTGTTAAGTTAAGTAATAAAATAAATGAACATTGTAAAACTCCTGATATGTGTATATAACAAGCAAAAGGAGCCATCTCCGACCACCCAACGTAACATTCTTAATCAGCGTAACTGTCTGTCTGTTCGTTCGTCCGTTCGTATAAAACTAATCAGTAATCATCAAAAAATAATGCGAAAAATGCAATGTTTTTGTGATTTCTTCCCCGACGACACTGTTAAAATGTATTTATTTAACGAATGATACATTAAGGTACAACATTTAATGAATATCTTATAAAATTTTTATAAAGAAATATTCAAAAATATGGCAATGGTAACCTGTCCGGACGTGTCTCGAAAAAAAGTTGAATTGCGGTGCCAATCATAACTCGGTTCCGGATCATCGGTAATCAAAAAATCCAAATTCATTTGTTAGATTTTAGGATATAGGTAACGATGTCGAGTTTTATTTTTAAATTTCAATTTTTTTTTCGAAACAAAGGATCAGTGCAGTAGTTTGATCTTATGATTGGCACAGACTTTGAAAACGTGAGTTGTGGAAAAGCGCTTTAAAGTTTTACGCACAAAAAATCCGGCAAGTATAAAACTACTTAACTTAAATTTTGTTTTAATTGATTTGAAATTTTGGCACAATATTTTTCAGATATAATTCATTCAATATAAAAAAAATTAAAAAAAAAACAAAAAAATATTCAAAATAAGGGAATAGTGGGAGGTTTCTAAAGATAAGGTAAACAATTTTAGATGTGGACTGCACATGGAATTTGAGCACACAGCCAGGAATTTCGTCGGGACCTGGCGAAAAAACTGGCTTAACATGATGAAGATCTAAAAGAAGAGAGCGTTCGTTTAAGGGGGTAGACCACCCCGACATTTTTTAAAAATCTTATTGTTTTTATACCCTTGCAGGGTATTATAATTTCAGTCAGAAGTTTGCAACGCAGTGAAGGAGGCACCTCCGACTATATAAAGTATATATATTCTTGATCAGGATCAACAGTCGATCTAGCCATATCCGTCTTTCCGTCTGTCCTTCTGTCCGTCTGTCCGTTTCTACGCAAACTAGTCTCTCAGTTTTGAAGCTATCTGAATAAAACTTTGTAGTTAGCCTTCTATATACTCTCACTCGTATATATGTCGGAACGGGCCGGATCGGACGACTATATCATATAGCTGCCATTGGAATGATCGGAAAATGTTTACAAAAAAATTTAACTTTTTCAGTTTTCAATGGAATTGGATCAAATTTGAGATATAGCCATTTTATTATACTCTACAATTGTAAAAATGTGTAAAATTTTATAAAAATCGGACCACTATATCATATAGCTACCATAGGAACGATCGAGAAATTAAGACAATTAAAAATTATAACATTTTCAGTTTTCAACAGTTTTGAGGTATAGCCATTTAAATTTTGTGTAAAATTTTATTGAAATCGGACGACTATATCATATAGGGGCCATACAAACGATCGTTAGATGTGGAGTAAAATGCACATCTGTGACTGTAAAACTGCAAATATAATATGTAAAGGTGAATGAAATGAAAGCAGATATTACTTCATTGTTTTTTAACACAAATAAATATAATTTATATTGTTGGAATTCCAAGTCATAGAAGTTCTATCTGCAAGGGTATATAAACTTCGGCGTGCCGAAGTTAGCTTTCTTTCTTGTTTGTTTTAAAGTTATAAATTTTTAAATTTCGTCTAAAAAAATGTTTTTTTTCAAAGTGCTCCCATTTGCTCAAAAAATTGTTTTTCCAAAAACGGCTACGTTATGCATTAGCCATACTTATTTAGTTTATAACAAATTTTTGTTTTTGAATTTCGGATAACAAATGTGGTATGCAGCATGTACACCATACGACCATTCCCTAAAAAAATTCCTTTATCGACTGGCTATATCTCCGCCGTTTGTAAATATTTTTTTTCTTTCAATAATTATTAGTTTAACATATGTACTTTGATGTACTAATAAATAAAAAGATTTATTCCTAACAACTTTGTCAAAACTAATTTAAAAAAAAAAAACTACTGGACTACCCCCTTAAACTGGGACTGAAAATTAGGTGCGATTTGGGCATGCTGTAGGAATAACCCTTATGTAAATTCAAAGAGTTTGATTAAGTTTTTTGAAAAAGCTGCGAAAATAGATAGGCTATTGCCTGGTCATTATTTACGGTAGTGTTTTCAAATGAAAGAGAGATGGATTGGTGTAAGGCTTACTTTTAGTTGTAACAAAATTATAAAACTGTTTTGGGTCCTGAGAGAACTGGGTCCTGCAACGATTCAGATAGTTTTTATAACACTGCGTGCTCAGAACGGTAAAGCTTGACCGAGCAGATAAATAAGAGGAAGGGGTAGATTGAGGACCGGAGATTTTTAATTTAGCTTTGGCATTATAAAAAATTTCCACGGCGTCAGCCATGTTAGTACACATGTATAGATCGTATATCGATCGATTCAGATAGTTTTTATAACACTGCGTGCTCAGAACGGTAAAGCTTGACCGAGCAGATAAATAAGAAGAAGGGGCAGATTGAGGACCGGAGATTTTAAATTTAGCTTTGGCATTTTAAAAAATATGCACGGCGTCAGCCATGTTAGTACACATGTACAGATCGTACTAACTTAATTTGGAAATTTAAACGGTCAGATATATTCTGTAAGCCAGACCCAATAACGAGAGTCACATCAAAAGTAGGATGATAGGGATCTTCGGGTTGCGTCACCCTGAATAAGCCAAATTGTAGCGGATTACAGACAAAATAAAGATCAAGCAAGCGTTGTAAGGAATTTTGTACAAGGTTGCCTTGAGACAGCGAAATGTTAAGAAAGCCAGCAACAAAATCATGTTGTGTAGAGGTTAGGAGAATTATTTTAGAATTATGTGAACACCAAATGCCCCCTGACATATTAAAATCAGTTGGGACTACCAACTGGTCTCTATTCTAAAGTCTACTGAAAACCATCTGAATAGCGGAAACGTGGTTCCAATAAATAGCGAGTTCCGACAATGGATCTCCGGCTTTAACCAGGTTTCTGTGAGCACAATAACCTGAGATGCAAACGAAAGGTTATCAGAATACAAGTTATGAAGCTTACTACGTAAGCCTCTTGCATTCTGAGAGGCTGCTGCTGAGAGCGTTGCGGAAAATTGGGGTCCGCCTACATGCTGCCCACCAATAGAATTCTTTTGCGTAAGGCTGGGTGTCCAACGTCAATAAAATTCACGAGTTTTACGAACACTCGATAAAATGCCCCTAAAACGGTTTTTGGTTTGCGCATGAAAGACATTATCTACCTTTCCACATCGCGACAGGCCTCGCAGCAGTAACGCAGGCAAATGTTTCTTTTGGCGAAACAAACAATATTTCCGCATGTTATTAAGCATTACCACTGTACTTGTACTTAACACAAAAAACACAGCTATAAGAAGTGAAGCGGCACAGCGAAAGCGTGAGAGTGGAAGAGCGTGGAAGATGAATAACTAAGACGTTTAGCTGTTGCGACGGTGTAAACAAATGCGAAACAAAGAAGGCACAAAAAGAAATTCAAAATATGCAAAAACTAGCACTAGCAGCACAACTAAATTGGAAAATTAAACCAATTATATACACAAATCAGAATAGCTGCATGCACACGCGAATTTGACGGGAAGTTGTTGACACAAAATAGAAAATTTAAGTTATTTGCAAACTGTAACACAAATCGGAACGCAAAAAATAAACACATCTGTTCACTTGGAAAGATGAAATTAACCTTTCCTGGCCGGCTCGTCCGTTTTCTCCTTTCCTGGGATTTCGTTATGTCCGGGTACCCAAGCTATTTGTACCCTGTTGTCCTCTGCAAGTCTGTTTAGTGCCTCTTTGCATTTGGCCACTAGAGCTGTTGCGAGGGATTTTATGTCCGCTTGGCTGTCTGAGGAGGGGTGGACCGATTAAGGGGGTGGACCACCCTGACATTTTTTAAAAATCTGATATTTTTTTACTTAATCTTGATGCCGATATTCTTACGGTCATTTTAAGACATTGGGCTTAAAAATATCTCATTACTTGTAGATTCTACAGTCATTAGAAGTGAGCGCTGTCGGTATACCTTAGAGTACTTTCTCAAAACTACGTTTTTTAAAACGGTCTACATAATTTCTCAAAAACTGCTGGACTGATTCTTTTCAAATTTTTTTACACAGCTTCTCTTTAACGTCCTCTATGGCATGAATTTATTTTAAAATATAATTTTTTTTTTTAAATGCTCCCATTTTATAAAAAAAAATTGTAAAAACGGCTACGTCATGCTATAGCCATATTTATATAGT